GAATCTCAACTAGCCCAGAATCCAAACCAGAGGCTAGTTTTTCTGGTTGACCCCTTTCTCTACAGAAGAGAGGGACAGCGAGATGGTAGGGATTCCTCTCTCTCTCCCTCCTTTCTCCAGTCTGCAATGTGGCCACCCAGGATGCTGGCCACCCAGGTTCCTATATATACATCTTGTCTTGTACAAGAAGAATTTCCAGTGTAAATCACCACCCTGCATCCCCCCAACAACCCTGTCAACCAAGGCAGAGTCGAGTCATCTCCTCATTGACACTAGGGTCAGAGGTGTGAAGGTTGCAGGACAGCTTCCCTCCCTTCCTTGGGAGCCCTGTCAGCAGGCTGCCTGTGCGCAGGGCTGTGTGCAGCTCCCAGTGTCCTCAGGCATGTGTACAGTGTCCATCGGACACACTTCTGGGTGGTCCCAGCTCCCGGCGTCCTCAGGCACGTGTACAGTGTGTTGGACACACTTCTGCATGGTCCCCACCTCCTGGTGTCCTCAGGCACATGTACAGTGTCTGTCAGACACACTTCTGGGTGGTCCCAGCTCCCGGCGTCCTCAGGCACGTGTACAGTGTCCGTCGGACACACTTCTGCATGGTCCCCAGCTCCTGGTGTCCTCAGGCACATGTACAGTGTCTGTCAGACACACTTCTGGGTGGTCACCAGCTCCCGGTGTCCTCAGGCACGTGTACAGTGTCCGTCGGACACACTTCCGGGTGGTCCCCAGCTCCTGGTGTCCTCAGGCACGTGTACGGTGTGTCAGACACACTTCTGGGTGGTCGCCAGCTCCTGGTGTCTCCGGCACGTGTACAGTGTCCGTGGGACACCCTTGTGGGTGGTCCCCAGGGTATGGGAATGAGAGTTGTCCTAGACCTCCCACTGTCCCACAGACACTGCCGCCTGCACGCTGTCGACTGCTCCCCAGCCCGCCGGTACGCCCAGCTCGCCATCTTTTCACTTGGCACATGTGACGACTGAGAAATCAAACCACTGTCTAACTTCCTTGATGTGGTTGTCATTTTCCTCTTGTTGGTGGCGGTGGGCATTTTCACAGGACAATGGTCTGACAACTGCAGCGTTGTCAGCAACAAGGGTCAGTGGAGGGGTCCCAGTCCAGCCACCCCATGGATGATGGGACCTGACCCCCTGGGGTCCAGTCTCAGACGTGTGTGCTAGGCACAAGATCCGGGACGGAAACTCACGGGAGCCCTGGAAGCGGCGTGATGCTGCTCGGAAGAGGCGCACAGAAGGAGCCGCACTTGACACTCATGGCCGGGTGCTGCCGGCGAACCCAGTTAGCCGGCCCCGGTCCCCCACCCCAGCTCTCCCCAGCCTGGCAGCAGGGTGCAGGGCTCTCGGGGGGCCCTCTTTTCTTCTCTTTAGCGTCAACTTCTCTTTCGACCACACCTACAAGCAGCATTGGTAAACTAGCCTCACTTCACTGACCAGCACCCGTTTCCACTTTTGTTCCAACGCTAACAGCCTGGAGGAGTGAGCAAGAGAAGGTCCGCATGACGTGAAGGATGTCATCGATGCCACTGAGGAGTGCACGTGCAGAATGTTCAGATGGCACACATTTTGTTAAGCATATTTACACCACAATAAGATACAAAGAAAAAAACCCAACAAACCCTCACAACCCTACCTACCCAGCCTGCCCTTTCCCACATGTTCTATCTCCACTCCTGACTCTAACCGTGACATTGTCCTGTCCCCGACTCTGCGTCACCCTCTCGGCTCTGCCGTGTTCAAGCATGCGGGGCCATCACCACCCCAGCCCGCCAAGCACGCTGCTGAGCCCCTCCCCTCCAACGGCGGCCCTCAGAGTGTCTGCCATCGCGAGCACTCCATCTACAAGCCGTGTATGCCGGGGCCTCTCTCCTCACCTGATCAGCTCATACGTCTCTCCCAGGAGCGGGTTGAATGGTTTGCCGGTCCTCTCCCACTGCGAGGCCACAGCCGATACCGCAAAGGCAGCCACAGACTGCAAACAAGCCACAGGACCGTGAGCACCTCAGCCAGGAAGGGCGTCAACCAGGCGGCCATCTGGTGTCACCTCCTCCTGGGTGACTTCCAGTTTCCCGCTGGTGACATGCTTTGAGATTACAGAACTCCCGGGGAAGTGTGCTTTGTCATGCCACCACTTCCTCACAGCCACCAAGAGCAGGAACTCTG